ATTTATTCTCGATTAAGAATCAAAACGTAGATGCGTTGTCACACCTGAGAACAAAGATGTAATGCCTCATTTTTAGTTAAAAGGGTCTCCGCTTCTCTACACTCACCATACGAAACAGCAGCATTAACCTGCTATTATACGGGGTAGAGCCATGCTGCGGTTCTATCAGTAGTATAGTTGTAGTACAAATGGGTTGGCTCGACCGGAGTAGGACCACGTTCTCACAGAATACCAGCATAAAATAGTAGCTTGACGCTGCTGTGTTTTGTATGGTGAGTGTAGAGAACCGGAGACCGTTTTTACTGAAAATGAGGCATTCCATCTTAGTCTTAGATTTACATACAACAGTATTTACTATGAACAAGTTGTCTCACTTTTTATTTTAACTGGTCTCATGTTAGAGAAAAATATATTATTTTTATATTAAGTACCTGATAATAGATGAAAAAAATATTTTTATTTAAACTTTTATGTGTTAGAGCCATGTTTCAGTTATATTAGTAGTATAGTTATAGCACGAATGGGTTAGCACGACCGGGGAAGGACCATGCTCTCAGAGAATACCATTTTTTATAGGATAGGATGCATAGTGAATGTAGAGAATCGGAGACCCTTTTTACTAGAAACGAGGCATTCCACCTAAGTCCTCATGGATGACAACGCATCTGCATTTTGATTCGTAATCGAGGATAGATGTAGATGTCTATGGGCCACAGCAACGACTTACCACAAGGTGAACTGTGTGCTCCTTTGTCACCCTTAATCTATAAAAAAGGTACCACTCTTTTACCTATTTCTACCACCAAACACTGCCTGCAATGCTGTGTTCTGGTCTCGAGGGTATAAAGAGCCAATATAACTATCTACAGGCCTTGAGACATTCTCTCCTCTAAGTCTTTAGGAGTGACCCATGGACTGCAAGCCACTTGTCATTGGTAGACTGTATGTTCGTTTACATTTCAGTTTATCAAAAAAAAACTTATTTAACGTTCAAAGAAACACGTGGCGTTCTCCATAACTTGCTGAGTGACGGAGTCTGTAATGCTATATAATATATAATATAATTTGAAATGTTTATTTCTTAAACGACACTCGAAGTTTCTCGACACCATCATAAATAATATTAAGCTTCAAACCATTGTCGGATCACTGATTTTACGGTTCAGTGTTATCGTGCTTTGTATTCGTGCCCCGTTCTAAACAAAAACAGACATATCACACAGATCGACAGATTCGTTTGTACAATTCTTTGTTACTGAGGGTTATAAAACCCATCTCCCTGATCTATACGATGGGACACTCGTAAAACTGCGACTACCACGTCCTACAACCATTTCTATCGACTTTTACAACCTGATGTAAATAAACTATAACAATTGTATTGTCGCGCGAGTTTAGATCGAAACGGCGCAAGTGATAAGCGGAGGTGGGTGTTCCAGTGAAGGATAACTTTTCGTTATTGTTTTTGTGAATATATGTGTTGTTATAGTGTATATATCGCAGAATTTTAATGAAATCAGGATTTTGATCAGAAGCCGGAATATGAAAAAATGGAGTCTCTATTTTACTTAACCCGAATAAATTAAGGATAAAGCGCAAATATTTAAATTAGTTTATAATGAAATGAAATACAGTTATTTCTTATTACACTTAATACGTCGTAGAGCTACGCTGCAGCTATATCACTCACACACTTGACGGGAGTAGGACCACGCTCTCACAGAATACCAGCCTAAAATAGTACTTTAATAGTAGATACTACGTTTCGTATGTTGAGTGTAGATAATAGGAGACACTTTTTACTGGAAACGAGGTATTCCACTTTAGCCCTCTGGGGTGACAACGCTTCTGCATTTTGATTACTAATCGAGCATAGATGTAGATGGCCATGAGCCACAACATACACTTACCATCAGGTGTACTGTGTCCATGTTTGTCATCCTTATTCTATAAAAAACAAAATCATCAAAAGCCGGAATATGACAAAATCTCTATTAGCAGATCCAGGATTTTAAGCAATCTGGATTTTCTTGTAATGAAATGAAATACAATTATTTCTTATTGCACTCCAGGGTAGGCATCTATTTGAGACTATGCGATTATAGATTATACATTCTATTATATTCTATTTATTATACAAGGGATGAGGAAAAAAGTTCACGAGAGGCAGTCTCGTACCGGTGGGTAAAGTGTAGAGCGCCCTCCTACTAAATGGAGTGACGACCTGGTAATATATACAGTAAGTCAGTTGATCAGCTCTGTGGAATTACTCGGGAAATTCTTATATTCAGCAGAAGAATTGTAAAGGGCTGTAATAATAATGATGATGATTGTTTTATTTATTAGTCTATTCTACTCTACTTCATTTCATCACTGCAAGTGTCTCGAAAAGCCACGAGTAATAATGAAAAAAAAAAAACAGTTTTACAAAAACGTAAATTACATATTTTTTAATCATGTCGCTTATGCTTGGAACCACACCCTATTTGTGCAATACTACTTCTGTAATGTTATGTTTTCCCAGCAACGAGCTGTGACATCGTAGACGCCCTTCGTCCGTAAAATCCCTGCGTTTAATGAACTTTGATATTTCGACAATAGAAGTGAATCGAGATAATGTGACGCAGAGTAAAAAATAAGTGATATCCCGTGTAAAGCTGTAAAGCTTCCGTCAATTCGTCACGGCTGTCATAGAGAACGGATGTTTGATAGAATATCTTCGTAAGTAGAATTTACCATTGTGTTTGAAAATACATAATGATATCGATAAGAATTATGAAAAAAATAAAAACCCAGAAGGCTTGTTCTCTTAAAGTTTAAGGTTTAGAATATAAAAATATTAATTTGCTAATTATTGTTTGTGATTATTTTTGAAGTGAAAACTTCTTTAGCGGTGTTGTACACTTTTTTGTAATGGGTAAAAAATGTTAACTCGCGTCAGGACACGTGACCCTGATCGAAAATTCGTAAGACGGTTGGAGAGAGAAAGAGACAGCCGGCGCAGCGTAGGAGAGGAAGTATCCCCCTCTTTTTCTACGGCGCGGCGAAAATGTATGCATGCGCCTGCTGTTTCGTTTAGTTTAGTATAGCGCAATAAATAAATATTGTATTCTACCACATAAATGATAATTAAAGCATATATATAAATAAACACACACACATACATACATATATATATATATATATATATATGTGTGTGTGTGTGTGTGTGTGTGTGTGTGTGTACGTTTATATGTTGTGTCGCGTATGCATGTATTGATTTTATATTAGGTATATTAATATTGCACCACCTACCTACTAAAGAAAAAGCCTCTAATTATAGCTGCCCATAAATTTCTTCTTAGTTAAATAGATTAAGACATTCGCTGGGACGCTTGAAACCATAAATACGTCAAGCGCATTCTACATTTTATGAAAGTTGAAACTAACATCGAAAAAGTAATGCTTTCGTCGAGTTAAACCAGTTAAACGCATCACCCACCGGTTTTAGTAACGATCTAAAGTCATTTGTCTAAGTCGAGCTATAAAGAGCGGAGACTGGATTTGTTAGAAAAGGAGTCGGTACAATGCGTGAATATGCATATACAATTATACAAACATGCACAGATTTATTGTTATGGAGAGAGACGGTTTAAATGACGGTGTTTGTTTATATGCAAGTAATATTGTGTTGAGAGCTCTCAAATAACATATTTGTAAATACTTGTCTTTATGTTCGTGAATGTTTTAACTATTTTGTTTTGAATTAAAAGCAACAAATGCAATGTTTAAATTCTATTTGAATAAGTTCTTAAATAAACTATTTCCAAAAATATTTGAATTATAATAATATGGAATAATTTTTTTTATACGTGGTAGAGTCGAGCTGCAGCTATACTATGGTTGTAGCACAAATGGGTTGGATAGGCGGTGGTTGGACCACGCTCTCACAGAATATCAGCACAAAATAGCAGCTTAATGCTGCTGTTTCGTATGGTGAGTGTAGAGACCTTCTTGGCATTTCTTAGTCCTCAAGGGGAATAAAATACAATCTGTCGCATCTGTATTGATCTTACGAGGATAGATGTTAATGTCTATGGGCCACAGCATCCACTTATCATCAGTGGACTGTGTGCTCGTTTGCCACTATTATTCTATAAAAAATATAAAAGTATTAATTAATCGTAAGTAGGCCGAGTACTGATGGCGTGAGAGAACCCGCTAACCCATATCGCCCTGTAATGGTACGTTTACACGCTTGCCAAGCCTTGGCAAACTGCAAGCAGTCCCAAGCCTCCACAAATCTCGTTTGGCGTTTGAAAGGCGTTTATACGCTTGTGAATGCGTCAGTCTGCAATATACATCCAAGCATGGCGGACACCGAACTTGTGACGGCTGTTGCATTTGGTTTAACGCACTTTTATTTTAAATGTAAGCAAAGTGAAATAAAAAAAGGAGAGCTCGACGACAGCGAAGATGGTGGATGAAAAAGATTCATCATAATCGTACCAGGTAACTACTATTTTGATTTAACCATTATCTGTTGCAGTTGAGTTATGCCACAATACTTACGATATATTTTATTTGTTACAGACAATTTATAGAAGAGATATTTAATGAACTTTTATATGAACCATCTGGAGAGTTTGATAACTTCTGCCGAATGAGCTATTCTGATTTTGAGTTTTTACTGCAAAAAATTTCACCAATGATATCCAAGCATGATACAGACTTCAGAGAAGCTATACCAGCCAAATTTCGTCTTGCCATTACGCTACGATTTTTGGCATCTGGTGATTCTTACAAAAGCCTTCACTACTTGATTAAAGTATCTGTCTCTATGATATCAATAATCATTCGTGAAGTTTGCCAGCTCTTATAAAATTCTAAAGGATCTAGTTAAGGTAGGAATAAAACAAAACATTGTGTTATACATTTATTTAGATTTTAATAGAATCATAGGAAATCTTTAATAGAAATTCGACCACGCAACATTCACATAGCCAGTTATAATGTTGGTTTCACGTGGGGCTGGGTTGATGATTTGGTCCGATATGATACGAATAGATGACGAGGGTGCTGTTGATGTAGACGGAGCTGGAGCTATTGGAGTTGGTATATGTTTTGCCATGTCTGGCGCTGAATAAGAAGTTTGTGTGTTTGGAGAGGGAAAAAAAACTTTGGTTGTTATGAATAGGTTCAGAATAAACACTATTAACTGATGTTGGCCGACTCTGAGTGACTTGAGGAGATGGTGTTGAATATGCACCAGCCATTGACGACGGTCGAGAATAATAGTATGTTGTATGACGCTCATTTGATTTTTGACTGATTCTGTTTATAAACAACCCATCTATTTGGTACATCATAATTTTTCGTTCATCAGTTGACAGTTCACGTAGCTTTATAGCCAATAATTTTGCGTATAGATCGCAATTATCGTCTTTGTGAGCAGGTATATTTTCATTCTGCCTTTGACCCAAAAAATTTGTTAATTGTCCAAAAGCCACGGCCATTTGCTTTTCAGCCGTTTCAAAAGCAGGGCGACGACTTTTATTAGTAACAGCTTGTATGGATGGTGGTCTGGATGGTGATCTAGATGGTGGTGTGGATGGTGTGGTAACCGTACTTGTACGGTCTCTTATCAGAGGGTCATCCTCTGTCTGATCTGTATCTTCTTCTATTTGTTGTGATTGCTGCAAAAAAATAATATACTTAAACTTACACTTCATTTACTTTCTTTTTACAGATGCCCACCACAGCAGAAGGATGGCTTAATATAGAAGAAGGATTCAGGGCTTTCCCACATTGCATAGGTGCAATGGATGGCAAGCATGTAGTCATTGAAAGCCCAACGCATAGTGGAACAGAGTATTTCAATTATAAGAAAACTTTTAGCATTTTCCTTTTGGCTTTAGTAGATAGCAAATACAAATTTGTATTCGCAGACATCGGGAGTCAAGGAAGAATAAGTGACGGCGGCGCCTTTAATAATTGTTTACTATGGAAAAGAATAATTAGAAACGAGATAGATTTTCCACCACTATGTCCACTTCCAGGATCGAATATTAATATTCCATACGTGTTTTTAGCTGACGGTGCTTTTGCATTGAGTCAACACGTAATGAAACCCTACCCTGGAAACCATGAAGTAGGCTCACCAAAAAGGTTATTTAACCAAAATTTATCTAGATTCCGAGTTGTAGTTGAAAATACGTTTGGAATTTTAACCTCAGTTTTCAGAATATTCAGACGCCCTATCAATTTAGAACCACAAACTGTAACGGAATTTACGATGACTTGTGTATTACTACATAACTTTTTGAGAACAAGTAAAAGTTCTTCAAATCGATATACTCCTCAGAGTTCGTTTGACGTATATGACAGTAGTGGAAATATGGTTACCCCTGGTTCATGGCGTAGAGATAACGACGAATATAATGCATTGCAAAATTTACCACAAATACACGAAGATCTCCGGTGAACGCCAGAGAAGTCAGGGAAAAATTTACTTCATATTTTAATAGGATTGGATAAGTTGATAAAAATTTATAAATAAATGTAGGTATAATAACCAACGGTGTTTTTTTTATTTAGAATAAATAAATTTATTTACTTACTGTTTCGGTGTTTATCCCTTCATTGCAAGTATATACTGGTAGTAAAAATGACTCCATGTTTTCGTAAGCATACCAAGTTGGATTGTATTTCTTCGACACCTAAAATAAAATAAAAACATCGAAAATTAGAGCGAGATAGTTGCGGAATAATCGAGAAACAAACCAACGATTTTAAACATAAGTTACACCTTGCTAAGCAGACTATCAAAATAATTATAAATGTATCGTAGGAACATACCTGCGCCAGAACGCATAGATTCACGTTTTTTTCTTCAAGTGCTTGCGAAAAGTAGTCATCAATCATTCATCATCTCCTTTTTATTTTTTATTTCCCTTACTGGCCTTCCAGTAAGTTCAGCTAGACGAATCCATGCATCTGCTTGTTTCTTCTTAGCTTTATGATTTGCATCTTTCGGATTCCAGATGCATGGTTCCATTTGGTAATGGTCCAGAAACGAAAGACTCTTCTCATTCCATCAGCAACTCATTTTTTATTTATTTTTTGTAAAATCAAGCAAGCGTGTACTCGCATGTAAATGCATCGCAAGCGCTTGCCGCAAACGCCCTTTGATCTGCGTAAAAAAAACCGACACTCGACTGGATCGGAAGCAAGCAGGCACAAGCCCACGCAAGCCAAGCCAAACGCCCTTTTTACATGCTTGCGATTGTCGATACTTGCCAAGGCTTGGCAAGCGTGTAAACGTACCATAAGAGTTAAATGTTGTAAGAGGTAACAGAGAAAATCTGAACCAGGAAATGGGCAGCAGCATTTTATTGATAACAACTTTAAATAATAAAAAAGCGGTTGCCAACTCGGTAGCCAGGCGTGGCAAATGTGGGGAGTGCCTGTGTGCGGCGGTGGGCTTTTGATAGGCTACGTTCAATAAATGAATTTAGCGTATGTTGTTACTTTAATTATAATCAACGCTTAAATTAAACTTGTACAAAATAAATTTATTGTATATTAAAATATGTTTTAAAAAGTCCCACTGGGTTTCTTGCTGGTTCTTCCCAGGACAGAGGTTTTTTTTTGGGAACCAGAGGTAAATAAAAAATGACCTTCAATAAGCATTATACAATAATCTATATTGAATAAAAAAATATCATTCATTCATTCATTGAATGTCCTTCTACATACTATATGTATATGTGTATTGCGATTAACATTAAATACTAGTTAAATAAATTACAATTTTCAAGGCATTTGTATGCTGCGGTTATGGATTTCGTCAGACTGCGAGTAAATATGTCTACCCTGTGGAATGATATTAATGTAACGTATAACACGTGATGGTGTATTCTGAAGAAGATTTGTCCTGGCAGCGGGCACGAGATGTAACGGGAGACGACGACGAGAACACATGTAATTATTAGGTACGCACAGCTTTAGCGCAGCGAGCATATCTGGGTGATGTATAATAGCACCTTTTAATGGCTGTTATAACTCAAGGAATAAGTGTTCGTCCTATAATGTTGTAGATTGTGGCACGAGAATAAATCGAGATCGATCTACGCCGGCTCCACTGAAATTGTTAACTTCAATTTTACGACATGCTCGACGATGAAGGAATTTAATGAGGAAATCAACATGCCTAAGATATTTAAAAATATTCGACGACATGTGATGTTTTCTTAAGAATAATGAAGTAGGCCCTGCTCCGAAATACTGCACAAAACAGGTCTGTGCTTGTTTAACTTGGATGACAAATGATCACACAGTCTACCTAATGGTTCAAAATTTCCTGACAGAAAGAACGCTATTACTGATGGGCCGGAACCGGGATACGAACCCGGGATCTCATGACCACCAGTTGCACTTGCGACTACTACCATAAAGGGCAGTCAGTAGTTTATAAGAGAATAAAAGACCATTATGCTATGTTTTGTTAAAGCGCGTCCGTTTACCGATCGTGCGGAACCATTCCTACTGCAGCTATAATATACTGGCTCTCCCACCTTTGTTATTATATACTATATTATGATTGTCTCGTTGGTCTGGTGGTTGTAGTAGTGCGACTGCTTATCATGAGATCCTGGGTTCGAATCCCGGGTCGAGCCAAAAAATCAGTTGTTGAGTTTTACCGTCAAGAAATTCTCAGTAGCTGCCCGGAGTCAGGAAGTTGGCGATGTCTCACCCTCGTGCCTCGGAAAGCACGTAAACCGTTGGTCCTGCGCCTGATCTCTCTCCGGTCGTGTCAGTTTATCGTCCCATCGGATAATGAGAGTGAGGGAATTGAGAGCGAACCTGTGCTTGCGCATATACTTGGACACTATAATCCTGTCCTGCGCCCATGGCTAGTCTCCGTTGAGGCTGGCCGCCGTGACCGAAATCGGGTCTGCAGGACATTATTATACTACATTATATAGTCATATAACCTTCTTATAAAAATGCAGATAAATTAATAAGTATCCTTTTCCATTAGTTTTGGATCACCCTTCGTATTTGTACTTGTATTGTATTTGTAACAATAAAATAATGTCTCTCATCCACGAGCACATATACATGTTTACAATCTCTCATAAGTATTAAAAAGATTATGTAATTTAATTCTACTCACATTTTCACATAGAGATGGGTACCTCTATGCAATGTTACGGCTGCCTATACTGACATAATGGTAGTGTATTTAAAACACCTCAAACTTTTTGTATATCGTTCATTGTAGATTATTATAGTTTACAGTGTAGTGGTGGTGTAAGAATATCCACACCTATAGCGTGGCAACTATGGCAAATGTAATTCTTATGAGGCATCTATCGGGGAGGTTTTTGTTCAGCAGTGGACTTTAATAAGCTATAATGGCTGGATAGATAGGTTTGGGATGCTTTAACGGTAGTGCGTTAGCTAGTTAAGTAAGGTATATGATTCTAGAAAGATCTATATTCTAGAAAACTTGCATCTTTGTCACCAACTCCCCTCCCTCCCCTGCCCCTCTTATATCATATCCTCTTATATTCTGGCGATTTGATTGGTTGGACGACTGCATCGACGCAACATACTTTACGTTAGATATTTCCATAGCATAATGTCGTATGGTGTTTTATTGTGACACGCGATTGACACTAAAATTATATATCTTTTACAGAAGAGGGCCATTAGAGCAATCTATGATTTAAAACCTAAAGAGTCGCTCAACAAAAATTTAAGGAAATTAATATATTAACTTTGGCCTCACAATACATTTATGAAAATCTAATGTACGTACCCAAAAATAAAAGTAGTTTTACAAAAATAAGTGATATGCATTCTGTAAATACCAGGAGCAGACACAAGCTAGTAGTACCAGTTACTCGACTCCACCGAGTCAGTAATTCATTCTTGAGGCGATGTATACGCTTCTACAACAAAATCCACAGAGCATAATGTAGATTATTTATAATCTATAATGAATGAAAAACTTTCTGCTTCTGTTTCAATGTAGGATAGCAGCCGTCATGCGCTCGCTATGCCTCTGTAAATAAGAGATACCTACTTAGCGGATAATTGCGGTGTAAAGTTAATGATATTTTAATAGTATATTGCATACTTCTCCAATAAATAACACTGCTAAGCTTACCAGAGAGTTGTCATAAAGTCATGTTGATTTTTTCTTCTTCTTTCTTAACACGTAATAGCTTTCAGCTGGATATAGGTCTCTCCTATTGTAGGGAGCATTTATACTTTTTTTTATAGTACTAGGGTAGTAAGTGATCACACAGGCCACCTGATGATAATTACGTGCTGTGGTCCATAGATATCTAAATTTGTCCTCGATTAAAAATCAAAATGCAGATACATTGTCACCTCTGAGAACTAAGATATAATGCGATGTTTCCAGTAAAAAGGGTCTCCGGTTCTCCACACTCACCATATGAAATACAGCAGCATTGAGCTGTTATTTTACGCTGGTACTTTGTGAGATCGTGGCCCTTCTGCGGTCGAGCCGACCCATTCGTGCTACAACCATAGCTGCTCTATGACTCTACCACGTAATAACTTCCCCGAGCATCAGTGCTTTAAATCAGCTTCATCATATTATGTTCGTTTACGCGGGTTTTTATGGATATTTTTGTTTGTCCTATGTAAGAGAGACAAGAGAGCTTTTGTTTGTTCCATATAAACGTGCAGTTAAAATTAAAGTTAGAGTTACAGCTTGTCTGTGCCCAGTAGTGGGACGTATATAGACGGCAGTATGTCAACATATTCAGGATCTTCCCAAGTATTAGATCATATTTGATAGACCACATATCCTCGCAAAATAACACCCATTTCTACCAAGGATTATTTTCGAGGTTATTGAAATTAAAAAAAGAACATCCTAATTACAATACAAAAGATAGTTAGGTGCTACTCTCTAGTTGGGATCCCATAATTTGTATAATTAAATCCAAACTCAAGCATACTACTGCAAGACTTTAAACTTATCGTTCTGCTAAGATCAGACCAAAAATTCATATTCAAAAGTTGAAAGTATCTTTTGTTAACTTTGACATCAGGACGACAAGCACCTTAGTCCCCGTGACCATAGGTACTGTAAAGTGCCCGAAAGATCGGGAATTAAAAAGGTAAAGTTAAGTGCGATAAAATCCGTAAAATTTGTTTTATTCAATGTGTAGATGTGTTGTAACAAGGGTGACTAAGATAGAATGCTTCATTACCACTGAAAAAGGTCTCTACCCTCAATGTACAAAGCACAGTAGCATTAAGCTGCTATTCCTCGCTGATATTTATATTGATGTATAGACAGCCTTAGCATAGTGCTCTAAAAGGCTCTTTAATTACTAGATCACTACACCCTGGTAGCTCGCGCGGAGTAATCTCTGTGATTAAACTCATATGGGCTTCCAATTTGCGTTTATAGCGAACTTGTAGAATGTCTACTTAGAAGTTAATTCAAGTTTTACTGTTATCAGGGTTGAACTTAAAAATTAATTCTGCCTACTTTCAGAGATGATTAATATTTTACATTTAAATGTAAGAAATATATAGAACATAAATAGTTTTTGCGTTTTACCTTTCACTAATTTCCTATAATTATAATTATAGTATCTTTATTTCATGATGATATTACATAATTAGTATATTTAGGTGATATAGTATAGCCTGCAGTTAGTAATTAATTAAAATAATAAAGAAAAGTTTAAAATATGAAAAATATATACCTACAAATACTAAAATATCATTAACAATTGAATATATTTGATATTATTTAATGTTGTTTACAAAATCAAAAATAAAAATGTCAGGGAATTTCAGTCACGACGGTCAATTGCAACAAAAAATTCAAACGTATGTTAAAACGTGTGCTGATTCCTTGACACTAGATCAGTAATAACCACGCCAAAGCGTTGCCACTGCGCATATGGCCACAGCCATATGCCTAGCTATCGTCAGTTCAGTGTTTAATGTGACACCGACAGAGTTGAGCCGCGACAAAAAATGGGTAAACACGTAGTG